CAGTGGAGAGTTGCCCATTGCTCCCTTCGCCTCTCTGAGGGAACCATGTTCTGGCTCGTGGTTCCCTGTAGGCATAACTCCATGTGACTGAAGACCAGACTAATATAGCTAATATCAGTCCAATAGCTCCCGGGAGCCGACGGGGCTCCCCACAGAAAATGGAGATATAGTGTAACATCATACAACTCACCAAACTAATAAACTGAATATTAACAGGAGTACCATTGACTCAGTACTCATACCTTGTTGACTGTAGTGCATGGTGTGGCTTTATCTAAGCCAGCAAGGAGAGTGGCTTGGCGTGTGGGAGCCTGGCTCGCTCCAGCTGTTATCACTTGCCCCATGTACACCTGAAATCATACAATCATTTTTACTTCCTTAATCAACCAACTGATACTTTATTCATGAATAGAGTTGAGCATAAACAACTTCACATTTGCTGTAAAGTTTCCTAAAATACAAGTTATGTAAAATTACATACAGTACTTTAATAGATGTTACAGAATTAATGCAACATTTGTTTCAAAGAGACAACTTTTGACCTAATCAAAGCAATCCATTCTATCTGATTTATAGCCGAGAGTAAAGCCTGACCTCTTGTACAGCTTTTGGGTCAACACCTGCTCTCTCAACAGCGGCTCTGATGGCAACCGCACCAAGCTCAGGGGCACGCATCGATGCCAGTGACGATCTGAAAGTCAACATAGCAAATTATATAATTAAACAAATTCAAAGTTTAAAATAGATTAAAATTTCCTTGCCAGAGTATAATCATAGGCCTATATACTGAGAGATGGTCATTACTAATGTAATGAATGGAAGCACAGCACAATATATAATTACACACATTACTGCATCAGTGCTGATGCCACACAATATAACGGTGCAACAGGAACAAATCACACCCATCTACACCCTGATGCTGCGACCCGTCTACACCCTGATGCTGCGACCCATCTACACCCTGATGCTGCGACCCGTCTACACCCTGATGCTGCGACCCGTCTACACCCTGATGCTGCGACCCGTCTACACCCTGATGCTGCGACCCGTCTACACCCTGATGCTGCGACCCGTCTACACCCTGATGCTGCGACCGTGTTTGCAGCCGTCTCCTTTTCTGGTGGAGAATGAGTCTGCTTCTTTCCAAGGGGACCCTGGGTTGTTGATGCTTGGTTGGTTCGGCCGGGGGTGCATAATGTTTTGTGTCCGGTTGTGGCTCTTCGCCGTTGTTTGTGCGCCACGTCCTCTGTGGCACTGGTTGTGCTTTGGGTGGACCTGGTTTCCCTTCTTTCCAGGTTATCCGCAGGATTATTCAGACCAGCCTGAGGTCTATCCCCATGCCCGTAATGTTCGTAAGTTCGGGACTTTGGCTGCTGTTTTTGGTAGTACTGTATATCCTGGGTTGACATTCGGGCATGGGGCTTTTGGAGATCGAACAGGGCCCTGGCCGGACGGTACCTTGTTAATGTTCCTGGCCCTTCTCAGGCGTGTATAGCCTTGGGTCGCAGGTTGCAGCCAGCTGTCTCTATTTCGTGTTGAGGGGCGAATGACGACTGCCTCCCGGGTAAGTCCCTTTTCTCCTTATCTTTGGTTAGGTAGCTCCAGGGAGCCGAAGGGGCTCTCCACAGAAAACCAGCGTTGAATGTAATGAAACGCCATTTTCTGGGTGAGACCCGGAGGCACCTGACAGCTGGGTGGACAGCGCTTTGGATTCATAGTCCTGAGGTTCCGGGTTCGATCCCTGGTGGAGGCAGAGACGAATGGGCAAAATGTTTCTTTCACCCTGATGCTCCTGTTACCTAGCAGTAAATAGCTACCTGGGAGTAAGAGAGCTGCTATGGGCTGCTTCCTAGGGGGGGGGGGAAAGGGGAATGTAACAAAAAGGTAGCCTGGTCGATGACCGGGCCGTTCAGATGCTAATCCCCGAAATCATCTCAAGATAACCCCCCCTGGCATCCCTCCCTCCCCACGGTCGACATTTTTTTTCGCATTTTTTATATTCTGCCTCTGAACTGAGGAGAGTAGCCGGTGGGAGGTCTGGGACCCCCCCCCCCTCCCGGGAAGGGGGAGGTTGCGCAGACGGATGCGCAGCATTTGTGGTGACGTCATTCATGTTTGCTTGTTTTATTTTTGATTGGGGAGCTCTGTTTGCTAGTTCGGCTTTCGGTTTGCAATTTTTCACCAGCAGTAGTTTGTTTTGGAATTCCTACCTTTCTGGGTGCCTGACCTGGTAGATGGCAGACAAAGACCGCTTCCAATTAAACAGGGGTGTCTTTAGGCCATTGCTCCTCGTACATCTCTTGAGGGGGCCAGGTTCTGGCTCTGGTCCCCTGTAGGCTTAGAACTCCTTCGATTGACTGTTGCCACCGTCTAATATACTGTATACACATCAGCCCGGTATAGCTTACGGGAGCCGAAGAGGCTCCCCACAGAAAATATGTATATTAAAGTAAATTTAAGGGTTATCCACAGGTACATTGTAGCATAATTTGAGGATTATTGCAAGGTATAATGTAGTAAACAATGTATAACATGATATAAGATAACAGCAATGATTACAATGGTAAAGTTGTATGGCATAGGTACATATTTTGTGGAATTGGGTAGCACTAGATACAATGCCAGTTTCAAGCACTAGGTAGGAACTATGAAGATGAAATTAGATACTTTTTGGTTTTATTTTTGAATAAGACAAAAATTTGATAGCTTTTCAATTCATTAGGGAGCGAGTTCCATAGACAGTGAAGTGTAACTCCCATAAACTGTACAAATATAAAGTCTGCCAGGCAAACAATGTCATTCTGAAGAAAAAAACTATAATAACAATATTTATGCAAACAGTGAGTTATGCTTGGAAACACTATATTAAAAAATACTCACCGAAACGACCCCATAGGGGTGCGGACCCCACTGACTATTACAACATCGTTCAGACCAACAGTTGCGTAGTGGCGCACACCACACGCAGCAGCCTGCAAACAAAAGCATTGAACATAGAACACTGCGGTAATCATCTAAACATAGACCCGACTTGAAATATTTCTGTGACTCCATTACACGTGTACTTCTTAACACTTTCGCGTTCCGGGCAGGCGCGCGGTTGACTTAGGGGTCATGTGTCTCGGCATGCGGGTAAGCGCGCGGTGACACCCAAATGTGTATACTCGTTCCAGCTTTCTCACCTTAATTATCGTGCTACGTCGCTCGTTTTGGTATCATTGTGTTCACAATTAAATTCCCTACAGATGTGTATGAATATAATATACAAAAGCCTGGAGTGCCTCCCCGCAGAAAAGCCTAAAGTTACCCATGAACGAGCACCAATTTGTACACTCGTTCAATTTGATAACATCAAATTTCGAGTTTCGTCTTTCATTTTGGTATCAAATTGTTCGCAATAAAAAGGTGCGTATTTTAAAACTAGTCCCAGAATAATAGAGCATTAACTGGATTTTAACAAATATTTTAATTCTGGACGCTCATCATCACAAATTTATTTATATCTTTCCAGTGTTCCGATATAAATTTTTGTGTTACATCTTTCATTTTGGTATCAAATTGTTTGCGACCTAAAGGCGCGCATTTTAAAACTAGTCCCAAGATAATAGGACAATAAATAGAATTTTAACAAATATTTTAATATTTTGACCAAAAGCCTATTTATAATCTTTCCAGTGTTCGGACATCAATTTTCATGTTATATCTTTCATTTTGGTATCAAATTGTGTGCAATCTAAAGGCGCTTATTTTAAAACCACTACCAGATTGATCTGATAAAATTAAAATTTTTAACAAATATTTTAATGAGTGACTCAGTGCTGCGTCGTTGGAACCTATTCAGTAGAACATTGAGTGACGAGATAGTCAGTTAGTGGAACCCGAAAGTGTTAAATTAATAACCCTCTTGCTATTCAGCCAATAGTTCTTCTTGATATTTTATTTCAGAAAAAACAATACATCAAGAAGACCAAGTGACTGACAACTTGCAACACACTTTTCCAAGACATAAAACAATTATTAACCACAGAAGATTATATCCTCAACTCTTGAATCTTGTATCACAAAAATTTTAGCTTGAATTTTCATGTGTTTATTTCTTTATTGCTGTATTATGAGCTTATTCCATCAATGATGAAATGAGCTCATTTTCAGCCTAATGTTCCTAGTTATTCATAGTCATAAACTTTGCTATGAGTTGGTTATAACGAAGGGTTACGCATGACGGGAGGGTTACGCATGACGGGAGGGTTACGCATGACGGGAGGGTTACGCATGACGGGAGGGTTACGCATGACGGGAGGGTTACGCATGACGGGAGGGTTACGCATGACGGGAGGGTTACGCATGACGGGAGGGTCACTACAGTATGTGGTGACCCTCCCGTCGTGCTCCCTCTTTCTTATTTAGACAGTTTGACTATTCTATTTTGGTCCGATACACTTCCTACTGCCTCTTCATGGCCAGAAATTGTGCCTCCCCAGCCCACAGCCAAAGACATGTTTAAATTTTTATATCATCTCAAATATGGTGTTACTCACATTCTTGGTAGTACAGTTGGGTTCGTTCTCAACTAAAATTGGGAATCCCGGGTTCGAATCCCGGGCGGAACAGAAATGGTTGGGCACGTTTCCCATTACCTAATGCCTCTGTTCACCTAGCAGGAAATGGGTACATGGGAATAAGTCAACCCCTTGTGAAGTTGTATCATGGGGGAGGGTCAGTAGTTCAACCTTGGGAGGACCTCAAAATAAGCCTTATGTATATATTGTACCTACACAGACTGCTTGTCCCTGCCAAAATAACGTTAAATGAATTATTAGATGCCTGATGGTATCTTAGTTTAACTCTTGGATGGCACTGCTACAAATAGCCGACACCGCTGTGCGCAAGAAAAAAAATCCAATTTTTCCCTCTTCTAAATGCGTTAAAATGTGATGTAAAATGTAAACATTTTTCCTGAACACGGGAAAAAAAAAATACAATCTTACTTACCAATAACATAAATGAGATTAGAAATCACCCTGTGAAGCCATCAAACTTGCTCGCTCGTGCAGTGTGAATCCCCGTGGCGTCGCGCGTGGCACTCAAGCGGCCAGTTACCACGAATTTATTTTTGCTGCATTATTTACAGTGTATGACGTCACTATGTTGTGACAATAAAGTCTACTGTATTTCACAAAGTCACTTTATGTAAAGTGACAATATAGTGTCACTATGTTCTATTATTATAAAACTTGCATAAAATCAATACACTCACATATTCGTGTCACAATTACCTCCACACAAATGTTTTCTTTTACAGCAAATATAATATGTAGTCTGTTTTTCATCAATATATATACACACGCTCACTCAATATATATACAGTACAGGTTTTGCATCATTATTGGACATTTAGAAGTTCTGGCGAGTGTGATACTCCTTGAAACACTGCACATGACAAAGGGGCACATCACACGCTCCGCACAATCTTAACACCCGTTTATGCTTCTGTGGCCTCCTTTGTGTTCCGAGTGCCTCTTCTTGTGCTAGGAATCTCCTTGCCAAACTTTTTTAGCAATTGTGACAAAACAGAAAAACTGAACGAATGGAAACTTGGTTTACGCCCGGTTTTCACCAGATACATGTTGTAGCTGTTCAGCATGGTGATGTCAACAAGGTGAAAAAACATCTTCTTGGACCACTTCACCGTTTCACGGACACACTCGATAGCACCCACCATCACGTCACACTTATCAGTGAAAAGCATGTTTGTGTTATAGTCCATAACACAATCTGGTTTATATATTCGTTCTTTGGTTACTCTGTTCACCTTGCCACTCTTCACCATTGTACCAGTGTGAACGGTCGTCAACATGTTCACTTCTCGTCTCTCTTTCCACCGCACTAAAAGCATCTGATCACATTTTTTTACCTGGCATTCACCAGCTTTAATATCATTGTCAAACACAGGCATTTCCCTTTTTCTTGCCTTTAATGTGCCACACACTCCAGTCCTATTTTCAAGCAAGAACCTTGTTAGCATGGGACTTGTATAATATTTGTCTGTGTATAAAATGTGGCCCTTGTTCAGCCATGGTGCCATCACTGTCTTCACCACACTTTCCGAGAAACCAGGTTGGTCTTTACCGGGAATGTCTATGTTGGGACCAGAATATAGCTTCGTGTGTAAGATCAATCCTGTTTCACAGTCACAGAGAACAAAGAATTTAAATCCAAATATGTGGTGTTTGAAGGGAATATACTTCTTGAACTCAACACATCTCCTGAAAAGCACTCGGGATTCACAAATCATCAGCTTCTGAGCTGGTACGTAGAAATCTCTGAACTTTCCAGTAAGTTCATTCAGAACGTGCCTTACCCTCCAAAGTCTATCATCTTCAGTCTGGTCTTCATTATTTGCAAAATAAAAACACCTGAGGAGTAACACAAACCTGTCACGAGACATATATTTCTCAAAAATAGGTGTTGGAATACACAAGTCTTTGCTCCAATAATCTGTGATGGTTTGTTTTACACAATGTGTCATCATTATACATAGTGCAAGAAACAGGTACATTTCACTTACAGTAGTGTTTTTCCAACGCTCTAATCGTGAAAGTTGTAATATTTCCCCACTTTCAATGAGTTCGGCCGCGTACTTGTTCGTTTCCCGAACAATGTGTTCCATGAGCGGCTCGTCAAAATATGCAGTAAAATAGCTCATTTCGCTCATGTCCTCGCCAGTAATTGGGAAAAGGTCTGTAACCCCAACATCTGTACTGTCAAATGCAGGGATTTGCGGAACAAAATCTTTACCATCACTCCATACAGGCATACCACCTGGTGTTTGGGGTGATGCTACACCAACATCACGGCGAGGAATCCTCGTACTCCGTCGATCAGGTGAAGCTCGTCTACGCACACTACCGGCGCGAACTGAAGATGAGGGCATTTGTTCCTCATTGTCTCCGTGTGGTGCCGTGCGGAGGCGTTTGACTGGACAAGAAGCTGATGCTGCAAAGCTTTGCCTGGTAACACCGCACACTCCACTGCCACTAGCCACAGGAGGACGACAACTATTTTCAGATTCAACATCACTAAAGCCAGAAAGCGAGTCATCTTCCACATATTGTTGGCCCAAAGCATCATCATGCTGCACATGCTCCCATGAAGTGTCTGGTGGTGGTGCGGAGTGAGGGCGAGGAGGCTGTGGTGATGGTGTAAGACTCACCCTGGAGGACAGCCCAGTGTCCCACTCGCTGTCTGTATCACTCAGATCTGTGTCCTGTGTATAGTCTTTATTAATGTCTATTTCATACTCCTCTGGATAGTCTTCATCATTGTCTGTGTTATACTCATCTGAGTCCAGTCTGTAGTCATTATCATTGTCTGACTTATATTGTTTTATGTCCTGTGTATAGTCTATATCGGTGTCATAGTCATCAAGATCACTTTCGTCGGCTTCTGGAAACAATTCATTGTAAATTTCCTCATCGGTCAATGACTGGGTGGAGGGGTTCGCTGCGGACGGTTGCGAGCCAGGTGGTGGTGCACTCGCCATGGTGTCTTGATCGTAACTGAGGCCGTCTCGCAATGGCGGCCTATGCTGCACTTTTGTCCAAGATGGCGACTGTTTACTATCACTCTTGGCTATCGTATGGGTGCCCCCTTTAACGAGCGGGACTTTTTAAATATTATGTGGTACTTGAAATGATGAAATACTTGAAATAATGATGAAATTGAAATACGTGTCCTGATATGATGTGCGCCGTTCAGTCACTTATACCAAAATTGTGTATATACAATTTGTGCTGTTAAAGGGTTAAGGACTATACATCTGCCTGAAAACAAAAGGGGAACAAGATAAATATATATCATTAAATCTGACAATCAACAAATAAAATTTCTTTCCATTTTCATAGAAACACAGAATCGTGGCATACTGAAGTTGATGCACTTTCCGCTTTTATCCCAAATGTTTCTTTTTATATACCTTTCACATTTCAGCTTTATTGGAGTAGAGTAAATTTGAAGTTGCTGATATTTCTGTAATTCAATCACCATTTCTATCCTGTGGTGGTTGACCACACCACAAACCAGGAGGCGTAATCAGAGACCAGGCCACAGGAATCCTGACCCTCAGAATCATTGCAAGGTAACCACAAGATAAAGTGCAAACACTAGTTTTAATAATAATAATAATAATAATAATAATAATAATAATAATAATAATAATAAAATTCATTGTGTCAGAGAACAAGTAGCCAGTGAATATTTACATGTTATGTAGGCTTATACCGAGGTCCCCCCAAGGGTGAGACTACTGACGGATACAACCCCCTTAACACGCTAACTCCTGGATACCTATTTACTGCTAAGTGAACAGGCACATTAGGTGGTAGGAAAGGCTCCCAACCATTTGTTCTGCTTGGTATTCAAACCCAGAATTCCAGATTGCGAGTTGAGAATGAACCCGGCTGTACTACCAGGACCCATCAAGGCATCAATTCGGCCAGCTCCGGTGGCAGTGGTAACCCAGTCTGCCATCCAAGGCAGCACTTGGATACCAATGTACAGTATATAATAGAGAAATGAGTCGGTCCATTCACTTGGGCTGTAAGAATTTCCAACCGTGGTACTCCGAGAGAGAACTATCAACATCAGAGGCCCGAGACTGTTCAACACGCTTCCACTACACATAAGGGGCATAAGGGGCATAACTGGCCGACCCCTCACAGTGTTCAAGAGAGAACTGGATAAGCACCTCCAAAGAATACCTGATCAACCAGGCTGTGAGCAGCCACGTCTAACAGCCTGGTTGATCAGTCCAGCAACCAGGAGGCCTGGTCGACGACCGGGCCGCGGGGACGCTGAGCCCCGGAAGCACCTCAAGGTAACCTCAAGGTAACCCACACGTGTTGAGGCCAAAGTTCTATCGACTGGGCTATGAGTACAAACTGGAATTTTCGTCTTTCTCCGACTACTACTGAAGCTCAGATGTTGATTCTGGAAACTTTCCTTAAGACTACTCACAGCCCACGGTTCAAGTCTCCTAGAGCCCAGGTGAATGGGATGCTTATTTCCACGCAAGTGTGGATGACAATTTAAATGAGTCAGTGATATATGAATATACCAGTGTTATATTTTATTTCATTTGAAGAGATTTCACTTAAAAGATCTGAGACTTTGCTGCAGATTATCAGTACTGTACTATCAATTTATATTGTAGTTATGTTATGTTTAACCCCCGTGCTGCTCAGCTCTTAAAAGCCTTCAACACCGCCATGCGCAAGCAATAAAATAATTCAAAATGTTTTTTCATCTTATAAAAGTGTACGTTTGTGTTCCCTGACCACAGGGAAAAAAAAATCGTAGGCGACATATTTTGGCCGCAAGTGATCTTCTCATTTCTTGAAAATTGGAACCACATTAGCAACCTTCCACAACTCTGGCACTCTGCCAGACTTTAATGATTCATTAAATATGGTAGACAATGGCTCGCAAAGCTCCTCTTTGCATTCTTTAAGATATCACATCTAGAAGAAAATGGGGACATTGAAACAGTTGATAAACTCGATTTAAAGAAACATCGCTAGGGGAAACTTCAAAAATTTTTAATGTGTAATTGGACAGACTTGTTGCTAGGCAGGGAAGTAAATGAAATGTATGCCAAATTTTGCAAAATATACGATGAAGGCACACAAACATTCATACCTAAACAAAGATGCAGGGCCAGAAAACAGGATTGGTTCAACATAAATTGCGAGAGGGCCAGAGACCAAAAGACACAAAAATGAAATCAATATAGGAAGAGGCCAAACCACCAAACATACCAGCGATACAAAGATGTGTGAAACAACTACACAGCAGTAAGGAGAAGCAGAAAGAAAATTTGAAAAAGGGATAGTGGATAAATGTAAAACAGAACCGGGCCTATTCTATAAATTCATGAACAACAAATTGCAGGTAAAGAATAATATTCAGAGGTTGAAAATGGGAAACAGATTCATGGAAAATGAAAAAGAAATGTGTGAAACATTAAACGAAAAGTTCCAAAGTGTGTTTGTACAAAATGAAATTTTCAGAGAACCAGACACAATAAGAATTCCAGAACAACATAGAGTGTATAGAGGTGTCTAGAGATGAAGTGGAAAATATGTTAAAGGAGCTAAGTAAGAACAAAGCAGTTGACCCAGATGGAGTTTCACCATGGGTTCTGAAAGAATGTGCATCTGAGCTCAGCATTCCGAGCTCAGGGGGTCTCGTAGCCTGGTGGATAGCGCGCAGGACTTGTAATTCTGTGGCTCGGGTTCGATTCCCGCACGAGGCAGAAAAAATGGGCAAAGTTTCTTTCACCCTGAATGCCCCTGTTACCTAGCAGTAAAATAGGTACCTGGGTGTTAGTCAGCTGTCACGGGCTGCTTCCTGGGGGTGGAGGCCTGGTCGAGGACCGGGCCGCGGGGACACTAAAAGCCCCGAAATCATCTCAAGATAACCTCAAGATTCCACTTCACCTGATCTTTTAGGCATCTCTGTGTACAGGAGTTGTAGCAGATGTGTGGAAAAAGGCTAACATAGTTCCAATCTACAAAAGTGGCAGCAGGGAAGACCCCCCTCAATTACAGACTTGTATCATTGACAAGTGTAATGGTGAAAATATTGGAAAAAATAATAAAAACTAAAATGGGTAGAACACCTGGAGAGAAATTATATAATATCAGACAGACAGTATGGTTTTCGATCTGGAAGATCCTGTGTATCGAATTTACTCAGCTTCTATGATCGAGCCACAAAGATCTTACAGGAAAGAGATGTGTGGAGAGAACCACATTCAAAGTGCCCACCAAAGGAGACATATCAGTGTAGGCAGGACTGTGCTCCGATTGGTGGACGGCGACCGCGCCCAGCCTTCCCGCGCAGGTCGAGAGAGGGAGCCCAGATATGAACTGCACGTGACCCAATGCGGATGAAGCCCACCCGGCACCACCTGCACTTAGGATATGTGCTGCTAAGATTACTGAAGAGGCTTTGACTTCCTCTACCCTATCTATCCTTCCTGAGAAGCCTAGACTTGCTTCACCTGCCTTCCCCAACCTGCCTTCCCCGATGACTACAGCTCAAGGTGAACTATTACGTTTAGTATTACATCACCCCATTGTTATACCACGTGACGACTACCTCCACAGATGGTTGGCTCGACTGCATCTATCTGGACCTAAAAAAGGCTTTCGACAGAGTTCCACATAAGAGGTTGTTCTGGAAACTGGAAAATATTGGAGAGGTGACAGGTAAGCTTGTAACATGGATGAAAAATTTTCTGACTGATAGAAAAATGAGGGCAGTAATCAGAGGCAATGTATCGGACTGGAGAAATGTCACAAGTGGAGTACCACAGGGTTCAGTTCTTGCACCAGTGATGTTTATTGTCTACATAAATGATCTACCAGTTGGTATACAGAATTATATGAACATGTTTGCTGATGATGCTAAGATAATAGGAAGGATAAACTTAGATGATTGTCATGCCCTTCAAGAAGACCTGGACAAAATAAGTATATGGAGCGCCACTTGGCAAATGGAATTTAACATGAATAAATGCCATGTTATGGAATGTGGAATAGGAGAACATAAACCCTACACAACCTATAAATTATGTGAGAAATCTTTAAAGAATTCTGATAAAGAAAGAGATCTAGGGGTGGTTCTAGATAGTTTTCTATCACCTGAGGACCACATAAAGAACGTTGTGCAAGGAGCCTATGCCACACTTTCTAACTTCAGAATTGCTTTTAAATACATGGATGGCGAAATACTAAAGAAATTGTTCACGACTTTTATTAGGCCAAAGCTAGAATATGCAGCGGTTGTGTGGTGCCCATATCTTAAGAAGCACATCAACAAACTGGAAAAGGTGCAAAGACATGCTACTAAGTGGCTCCCAGAACTGAAGGGCAAGAGCTACGAAGAGAGGTTAGAGGCATTAAATATGCCAAACCTAGAAGACAGAAAAAAAAGAGGTGATATGAAGAAAGAGGTGATATGGTTATCTTGAGATGATTTCGGGGCTTTAGTGTCCCTGCGGCCCGGTCCTCGACCAGGCCTCCACCCCCGGGAAGCAGCCCGTGACAGCTGACTAACACCCAGGTACCTATTTTACTGCTAGGTAACAGGGGCATAGGGTGAAAGAAACTCTGCCCATTGTTTCTCGCCGGCGCCTGGAATTGAACCCAGGACCACAGGATCACAAGTCCAGCATGCTGTCTGCTCGGCCGACCGGCTGACTACGTACAAAATAGTAACAGGAATTGATAAAATCGACAGGGAAGACTTCCTGAGACCTGGAACCTCAAGAACAAGAGGTCATAGATTTAAACTAGCTAAACAAAGATGCCGAAGAAATATAATTAAATTCACTTTCGCAAACAGTGGTAGACGGTTGGAACAAGTTAGGTGAGAAAGTGGTGGAAGCCAAGATCGTCAGTAGTTTGAAAGCGTTATACGACAAAGAGTGCTGGGTGGACGGGACACCAAGGGGCACAGCTCTCATCCTGTAACTACACTTAGGTAATTACACTACACACTCTGGAGCTGGTGGAGGCAGGAGTCACACTGCAGCAAGCTCCTGGAATATCAAATTACCTAAGTATTGGGAACAGGTTGAGGGATACAGTGGTGTCCCAGGTTACATAAAGGTTCAGGGAAGTGTAACAGCAAATAAGATACAATAAACAAGTGAAAGCGAGTGCCAGACAGTACAATAACAAAGATGGCCACCACCGCCACTGCAGGGAATGTAAACACACCAACAGATGATTGTTTCAAAGGATTTTCACCACAAGAT